ATATATTACGCCTTGCCGGGGCTTGCGATGGCCGGTTGAGTGCCGTATAGGAGTAGGACGTGGGCACTGAATGTGTCCCCAGCCGGCATTGTAATAACCGTCGATGGTTACATAGTTATACGCTGGAAGAGGAGATCGTACTGGAGGTCCGGGTAGCGTAACTGGCAACGCATCTGCACGGTAAGCAGGAGTTGTGGGTTCGAGTCCCGCTCCGGGCCGATTTTTTCTCCCAGCGGTTCTAAATTATTTAAATTAATTAATTTATTTATAATTATTAATATTAATAAGAGATGGCGCCTAACGCTTACCTCTAGTACCAAATTCGTTATGTAATTAATATAGTAATTAGCCATAAAACTAGCCCGATGGATTTACGGCGTACGTTTGGAGATTGGTCATTTATTAGTTTGTTTTTATTTAGTGTATGGTTATCGCTTTGTGTTTTTTCCACTAATTCATAACTTTTGTATTCAGAGTACCAGTTAAACTTTTATAGTTTCATATTACAAGATGTTTTGCATTAGATTCAAAATGTTAGTGTTCATAATTTAAGTTATTACAAAACTGCGACTTCACTAGCGTAAAAACCTTTGCCGTAATTATTTTTAATCACGTGACCACAATATGCCGGAGGAGGCATAAATCAAGCGTAAAGCCAGTCAATCAGTGTTGGACTTTCGATGCAAATATGTCCATAGAATGGTATCATCGACCAATTAGAAGTCAGTGGTATAATCAAACAAGATATGATACTTTGTTTTCTTGTGTTCATTAGCCTGAAGATGAGGGTAATGTCTGTCGAAAGTTCTTGCATGATTTTTGATGAAATAAAGTGTAGTTTTTTTTAACACCAAAAGACAGTTTTTGTACTTTTATTTTATTACATTTGTCATCAAGTGTAATCTTATTTTTTTTTATTCTATGGAAACTGTAAGACAACATCTTTCGCATTGATTAAAATTAGAACACATTGGCTTAGAGAGAGTGGCTACAATTGGATTTTCTGTTTGGTGCTTGTCTTAAATGAGTGAATCAATTAGTAAATGTTTGCTCAAAACACCACATTTTTTGCATTATATGTTTTTCATTAATAGACAGTTATTTTAAATTTTAATCTATTTAAGTGTTTTATAAATTATCTTAAATTAACAATAATAATTACATTAGTAAAATACTGTATTTGTTTTATATGAATGAACAGCAATGTAAATTTCTTTCAACATTTTATTTCATTTCAATATAAATGAATTAGTAGTAATTATTTAATAAATTTTACTATTGTATATTTTCAGTTTATTCTTATGAATGTACAAAATTAAAAATAAAATGTTTTAAATTTTAGGTCCACAGTTGGTGTTAATTTTGCACGTTGCAGAGTTTTAATATATGTTGCATTATCTTTAATATGTCTTGTTGTAGCAATTGTTGTTACGGTAAGTAAATTTTTATTACCTTATATCTATGTTACAGCAGTAATATTGTATAGTTTAATTTATAAATCAAAACTGTTAAGATGTTACACACTATTTGTTTGTCTAAAAGCTAATTCTAAGGGAAATAAATACACTGATTATAGCAATTAAACGTTAAAATTACAAAACAAAAAATTCTGTCTTTAGGTTACAACAAAATATGGTGGAAAATATGCAGGAGCTTGGATCGCACTTTATGCAGGTAAATTTTATAAGCTAAAGCTTTATTTTTTTCATTCAAACTTAGTACAAAAACATGAATATTCAAATACTGTATAAAGAATTAGGTGTAATGAAAATAGACCAAAATTATATATATCGTCTACATAAACAATAACTTGAAGTATTGGTACAGGCAAGTGTTGTGCAGTGTGCTACAACGGAAAAACTAACCCTGGAATGATGTGCTTTTTTTTTTTAACTTTTTCTGCCCTGTAGGCACTGAAGAGGGGCTTTTTAAGCAAGCCCACTATGGGTTCGGCAGGCCCACAATGGGGCAGCCAGGTGGTGAGGGACAGGGCCGACATATCCGGTTGGACCACCTCCCAAAAAATTCCTGAGGATTTTTCCACCCGTTGGGATGCAATCCCGTGTCTCCCAGAGCAGTAGGCTGCCATCTTAACCGCTCAGCGATTTGGTCGTCAAAGGAATGATATGCTTATTAGAGATGCCACGAATATTTGGCTACTATTCAGTATTCAGCCTATTCAGCTACTTTTTTTAATATTCGGTATTTGGCCGAATGTTGCATACTGTTCGGCCAAATACCAAATCATGAAAAAAAATGCACATATTACACAAAAACGTATTTATTTTAATCACAAATTATTACATTTAATAGTTAAAATCTATCACTAGTAAGTTGTGATGAATGAAAACAATTTTTTCAGCATTTGTTGATAGCAAACGATTGCGCTTTTCCTCATAAGCTATATCTGGTTCTGAAAGTAGCCTCTTACTTATATACACTACTGCCGGAAGACAATAGATAAATCTTAGCGAATTCTGTCAGGCTTGGATACTGTTTTGTGTTTGCTGACCACCAGTTATAAAGGTCTGCCATCCGATCTAGGCGAACAGTTTCATATAAAGTGATACAGTGATATTTTTTAGTAATAAGGACTATTAGTAACACAATTTGATGTAACAATGAACAAATAATGCATGTCGTGACACGATCTACTCACAGATAAAACAAATGCGCCCATGGTGTCGCTACCGCACCCACTGGGTCGTAACCTGTCACCTGTGAAATGTACACATATTTTGCTGAACATTTGGTGCTTCGGCCAAGAACGTAGTCAAATATTCGGTATTTGGCAAAATCACTATTCGTGGCATCACTAGTGCTTATATTTGGTTACCATAGTAAACAAAATGAGGACTTCCCTCTTGCAGAAACATTGCATACCAGTATATGAAAAAGCTTCTTGACTGTATTATTTAATTACAAAAACATAGTTAGTTAGGGCTATTGGGGTATTATAAGTAGGAACTGGATTTTTATATTTTTTTGCACAATGGCCTATGATTTTTTCACACATGTTTTTGCACAATGGCCTTGCATTGAAAGTTCCAAATCTGCAATTATTTCATTGATATGGTATCTGGGGCGAGTTATAAAAACCTAAAAATGTATATTTTGGTAATAAAGCCTAAAATGTATATTTGAGAATATTTTGGTATAAAAAAACCTTAAATTGGCACATTTTGCCAATTTTCTTAAAACTTTCCTAGCCAATCTCCCCTCTTCAATCCCCAGGGATTGTCCCCCCCTTTTTCGAGCTGGTTCTCATTAGTTCGTTTCATGATTGAGTGATTAACATCCTGTTGCTACCCATTGGAAACTTTGACAGAAGAATACCAGAAGGTATTTAACCCTGGACTTCGTTATCCAGGTCACACCTCTCCTTCTAAAAACTATTTGTACACTGGGGTCACTTTCATTTCGTTAGTTTGCAACAAGCAGCTATAGACTTGAGTCGGGTCTACATTATTGGATACAGATTGAAAATTCCGAAAGTATCGTCATCAAAATCATCTCTTTTGTGGCCTATATTGCTGAATCTGGAGGGCCTGAAATATTTAGCACCGATGGGAAGGTTTTGAATTGTGATGCCTGCGATGCACATATTGTTTGCGACAGGAAATCGCAAATTCAACAGCACGTGCAAACGGCTAAACACAAGAACAACGTGAAACTGCTGGAAAATGCTGTAAGCATAAAAAATTATTTATATCACGATCACAGAAAAACGTGATTGATTCTGTGTCAAACAATAACTTTTATTTTGAATTATGTGAGAAGCAGGAATTCCATTTTCAAAACTATCGTACCCAACACTTAAATCATTTCTGGAGAAATACACGCATATGACAATTCCCGATGAATCTATGTTAACAAAGCCCTACAGGGAAGACGTGTTTCTGACAAAGCTGGGAAAGTTACGAAATGAGTGTGAAAATGAATAGACCTACTTTTGTGGTGGATGAAACCACAGATGTGCAACAAAGTATGGTTACTACCGTTCTAGTTGGAGCTCTTCGTGAAGACGAATATAAGGCCCTAAACTCTTGTATATGGAAATACTGTACTTTAAAAAGTAAACAATGATGTGATGAAGAATATATGGTAGAAAAGGAAATGCATGTTTTGAGGTTTTTAGAGCATATAATATGCACGTAAAAGTCACTTTTTAGCACCTAAAAATCCGGTTCTTATGTCTGTTCATTAGTCCTAAATAACTATGTTTTTGTAATGGCATAGAGTTTGTTCGGCTTGCTGGGGAGTTTTTGGGTCCAGTGATGAAGTTTTCATATCGTAATGTGGGAACCCGACCAGAACCGTTTGTGTTTAGCGAGAACCTACTTTAATCTCCCAATGTTTTGGAGAATTTTGCATTTCGCAACGAAGTTAACGTAACCTAATTTTTACAGAAAGTTTCGTGCGAAAGTGTTTTTCGTTTATACTGCACTTGCGAGCACTATGTTGGCCTCTTTATTCTTAGACTTATTACACCGTCGGTGATAGTATAATAAGTCTAGGAATAAAGCGGCCAACATAGTGCTCACAAGTATATACCAAGGCTAGACAAGAAGCGTAATGTTGCGTTTTTCGTTCAAAGGATGGTACGGGCCTATATAAAACTTGCACGAACGTCATATCACGTGACCAAATCGTTATCATTCCGCTTTCTGCGCCATATTTGTGCCGTGCTGTTCGTGGAGGTGTATATAGTTTGGCTTACGTCTGAACGTTTATGACGTGAAGATGGAAAAACAGGCATTTTACTGTCCCGGCTCTGTTATACATAACAGAGAAACTATGAAACGTCACTACGGTTAGTTTTCCCATGATAACTTTAGCATACGTTAGTGTGTTGCCCACTAATGAATGTATTCTAACGTCTCACAATTTCGTCCTAGCCACGGTACGCGGGTCGTAGACCGTCCGAAATTTAGTGAGCGGCCACAAATTAGAATTTGGAGGGTGAACTTAAGCGCCGCCGCGTAGTTACGGTAGTTGTAAAAGAAGTATACAGTATTTACGCCCTTCCGCCGGCTTTACATTTCGGTGACGTCTTTAGTTCCTCCCCGATATTTCGGCCCGAGACGTTACGGACGGCGCGGAAGTAAAGAAATACCCTTTCGAGTGTAACGGAGGTCTTTTTGTCTCCTCAGCGTGCTACGTGGCTTTCGCCGTGTTCCTGGGACGAGCCGTCTACTACTACACCATCAGAGTCAGCACCGTCCTCAGCTACGGATAGGAGGAGAACCGCCGCGGGGAAAGGAGGATTCCGCCGCAACCCCGCCCGGTATTTTCGGATCCGGCCCCCTCCCGTCTTTCCGCCGCCCGCGGGTCGGGCCGGGCGGTCTCCGTTTTCGGGTCCGTCCGGGCGGAGCGAGCGGGAGGCGGAAGAAAGGAGGAAGGCGGACGGACGTCGGCCGCTTCTCTGGTCGCCGACGGAAATCGTCGTCACCGCAGGAAAATAATAAATCGTTGGGCACTCCGTTAGTCCGGCGTCTGTGTCTTTTGGGCGGAGAGAGAGAGCCGGGGACCGAGATTTTCCTCGCAGGGCGACGGAAGAGTCGGGAAATTGTAACGGAGATCCGTCGTTCGTCGGGGCGGTGGCGCCGGAGTCTCTCGAAAGGCCCTTTTAAGAGTTGAGCGAAGTTAAGAAACGGTTTCTCCTCCCGGAGGCGTATTTGGCGCCTCCGGGTCGAAGGAACGGGACCCATCGTCCGCCCCGGTACGACGGGTCATTTTCCGTGTCTTCGTTCCCGCCGAGGAGCGCGCCCGAGCGTCCGGAAGGCCTCCGCGCCTTTCTTAATATTTCACGGCCTGGGGGCGGAGTGTCGACCATTAACGTTAAGTCGGGCGGGTGTTCCGCGGCCCGGACGAATCGGAAGTTAGCGGGCGGCGGCCGGGTAAACTTTTCTTACCATTGTAACGAGGAAAATTGTTAATAAAGTAGAGTAATTAATAAAAGACGTTCCGGCCCGGCCGACGGCCTACTTTGATTTTCCGGGCGCCGTGGGTTGGCCGACGATCTTTCCAAAGAAAGATCGTCTCTCGGCTTTCTGTATTGACTACCGTTTAAGAAATTGCGCTTCCGGGTTTAAATTAAAGTCGTTTTTGAAGACGCGTCGTCGCCAGGGTCGTTCCGAAATTTCAGCGCCGGATACGTCGACAATAAATTTTCCGTCCAGAGCTCGACTACCGAAGACCGGTTAGGGCCTTCCGGAGTGGCGTGGCCACAAGCTACGGTGATTCTCTATCCACTTGACTTTGTACGGGCTCGTCCGTACCTTTCCGAGTAAAACTGGTTGTATTTCTTGTATTTCCGTACACCCGTCTCTGCCACTTAATTTGTCGATGGCCCATTCCTTACGAAAAGGAAAAGTCCCGCCTTCAATATCCCGTAAGCTTAAGGTACCGAGAAACCATAAATTTTTCCCTTCTTATTCATTCGTTCGACAAGTGACGGTGCGGAAGAAGTGGACATTAATGCTCGCTCGGGATCTAGGTGTTTATTCCGTAGCCTTAAGGCAATAACGACCGCCACCGGCCATTTGTTTGGATTTCGCCCGAGTACAATAATATATTGGAAACGGCCGAGGATACTCTTTGTACGGCCGGCTTTATTTATCCGGAAGACGTGGTCGAAGATTTTGGATTAGAGAGATTTTCTGACGCCGAGTCTGCAAAATACGCTTATTTCTCGTTAAAATCGTTGATAAAGATTACTATTTCCGGCAAGACTGATTTGTTTTGTCTTTTTCGTTTAACTTACGTAAAATTATTTGTGTAGAATGTGCGTTATCTCCGTTTTCTGCCATTAAGACGACGGGCGATTTCACGTTGTCTCCCGACTGCCGAAACCATTCCTTACTAGTCGATAGAAATGCGCCTAATTTGCGACCGTTTAAAGTGGATTAAAGCGTCTGACTGGTTTATAAGCGTACGGACGAGGGTTTATACGACCGGAGAATCTTTGGTAAAAGACGTTTTCCGCCGTGTCGGTCGGAACGGAAACAATCGTTACGGGACGACAGCGGTCGTTACGTATCGGTAATAATAAATTACCACGGAGTCCGTCCGGAAAAATATAATTTTGGAAAGATCTACGACGAATTATACCTATAGTTAAATGTATATTCGGGCGGTGTTTCGTTGGCCTAATTTCCCGAGATGTAAATTTGTAAAAGAGCGGGGGATACGTTAGAACTGGCGTAGTATTGTACGTTACCGCCGGAGAAAAACCTTCGGGAGTAAACGTATTGTTAATTATTTGCCGGTAGCCGAATGTTTTCTGTGGCGAGTTAGCTTCTTTCTCCGTCTTTTTTACGTGACAAGGTAAACAATTGGCTACGGTAGTTTTACCTCCGCTCGAATGTTCCTTCTTATTTATCTGGATAAAGTTCCGGTTTCGCCATTCTGATTTTACTAAGCGGAAGGTTTTTCCACAGAATTTTTCCCGAAAATACTTTTCTGCCAGGTGTATTATTTTTGATGTATTCTGTCTTTGGAAGACGTTCGTTGGTAAATATCGGCAAAATTGTACGCGGGTAATGTTCGAGCCGTTCGAGTATATAAATAGTTGCACGAGAAGGAGAGGCATTAAGAGGTGAATAGAGAGAGTCGATTTTACGCCTGGTTTCTGTATAATATTCACCGGTACACTAGTGTTTTCCGATGGTAGAGACCCCCACATCTACCAAAAAGCCAGTAATTTTTGCCTATTCTGACGGGTGCGGATTAAGCGGGTGGCACGTATCGGTAGACCGGTCTTTAAGCGGATTTACGTTGACCGCCAATTAACCGTAATTTGGGGTTTCCGGTTTACTTTACCGTTTCGCCAATCGCTTGGAAGTTTGGAACCGTCGAGCTTTTATCGCCGTCCACCCTATTCCCGGTTGTGGCGTGGTTCTCGGTTACGGAAACTTTCTCGCGCAATAGATTAGATGTTATAATTGGCGATTTTTAAGTATTTCTCTAGCCGGCATCGTTTTCTCTATAAACAAACACACACACACGTGGTTAACGGCGAAAGTATCGAAAGCGGCCATTTTGTTTTTAGACACGACGTTTTATCTTGCTGGCAAACGATTGGCTGCTGCTTAAAATTCTCCACGCCTTTTCGCTTTTTGTTGGACGGATCAATTTCGCTAGGCGAATAAAAATCGCTTTTCTCGTTGGCTTTTGCTATTAGCTGGGTGTGAAACGCTAATTGGTCCGTTTCGACTCTCGAGTAAAATTCTAACGATTTTCGTACGTTTGTATTTTGTAATTACCGGTGTGCATTAATTTGATTTCGTAGGGAAATGGAGACGGAAGGAGAGAAGGGCTCGACCGACGAAATAAATACGTTGGCGTTGCTATCGTCTAAACTGGTGTCGTTTCCTAAAGATAAACTCGGCCTTTTGTTTCGCCGGATGTTTAGCAAACGACGTTTCCTCGTCTCCCAAATCCGAACAGTAAAGTAAAAAGACAAGAAATTCCTATTTTATCGGGGGATTCGTTCGATATCTCGGGAGGGACACGAAAGCCATTCAATTCTGTCGGTTAATCGTCTGGGAGGGGAAGGTAAAGGGGATCACGCGTCGTATCTCCACGCACGTCGGACTTAATAACCGGTTGAATCGACTTGGGTCGAAGTCGTCTCTACACCGGAAATTAAGCTTCTTGCCACTTTATAACGATAATAACTTTTTATAAGAAAACGTGACGGAGCGAGCCAGGCAATTTCCTTTATTACTATTAATATAAAAGTTACTTGTTACGTAAAATCTCTCTTAACGGCCGCCAAAGTAGGACGAGCGGTGTTCGGATTTTTTATACGGCCAAGTGTCTTAAGGATCTGGATTTCCGCACAAATCCATTAAAGATAAAATTGTTTCTGTTAAAATCCGACTAATTCTTACGGAAACCACTTCTTTTTGGCGGTAAAAAGGCCTTTGAGGCCTCGTACTGTTTTCCGTCACCGTCCTTTCCCGTTATACGAAAGGGAAAGAGAAGACGACGAATTATGGCTGCGGAGGTTTGTTGTGGATAAAGTTGGATGCGGAAGACGACGCCCGTCCGACGAGTTTTCCACCTGAAAAACAAAGGAGGCCGTTGAAACTCGGTCTAAAGTCCGGCCCGGAGCGCTTCCCCTTGCGCGGATACTCACCTGCGGCGCCCTGGTTGCTCTGGTGGGTGCGCTGGCGGCGGTCGGACAGATACTTGCACAGGCGACCAACGCCTCCGCCCGACACGTCGGGTTGGGCCGTGGCCCCGAAGGAGAAGGGCCGCGGCACTCCACTCCGCGTCACCGCCTCCAGGTCCACTCGCGCCTCCCGGTAGTGTTGCTCCCGCCGGTCGCCCTCCGGCACCCTCTCGGCCCGGACGGCGTTCAGGTACACGTCGCGGGCCCGACGGGCGTCGAACTGAACGTCGCCCGCTTCCAACTTGCGCAGGTGTTCCTCGGCCCGGGCCGCCACTCGTCGTCCCGTTCGTAGCATGGCTTCTGAGTTACTCCGCTCGTCTTTCTCGTCCTTCGCCGCACCGACGCGCGCGCGCGCGAAACGGCGGAAACTTCCACTCCTCCCCGAGGGTTTTCCCGGGGAAGGGACGGACGGTCGCGGCCGCGCTTATCGCCAGAGACCGGTCTGGCAACGCTTTTCCTGCAGGTAGGACCTCACCGCCGCAAAGTGGAACGGTCCGGGACGGCGAATTACGTAGAACGCCCGACGCCCGGCGGAGGAACGGCCGAGTGCGCAGTTAGAGGAAGGAAGGTCGTTCCTCCTACCCTCGTGACGCGAAGGCTGCTCGGATTGTTTGCGCCGCGACGCGCGACGCGGACAATTCGGAAAAACGCCAGTTTTTCTCCCGCATTGAGGAGCCTCCGAGATTAGTGGCTAAATGTGCTTTATTCGGAACTCGTCTTTTCCTTATACTCCGACGTGGGGCGTTCGACGCGGCTCCCTTCTTCACGGAGCTATTATATCGGAGCGACAGCCCCCCCCCACAATGAGCCGAGGCGGTGCATGCGCGCGCAAGACGGAAGTTGCCGTCACCGGCGTGGAGGAAACGTGATAAACTGGTTGCTTAATGAGAGTTGTAATTCTACCGAACATTTCTGCTGTTTATTTACGTAAGGTTCTCGATTAACTGGAAAGCTCGGCGTAAGTATTACGCGCCTTCGCCTGCGTTACAAATACTTTAACAATAGGAAATAAATTTTGTACGGTAGTTAAAAACGGAAACGACGCTCTACTTATAATCCAAATAAAAGCGGCGACTAGTAGAACTGTGTTTATATGCAGATTTGCATCTTTATTTCTATTTGTTAAATGCAGAAGAATCACGTCAAAAACCAATCTTTTAATGTAAATTACTCGTCAGATTGGATTTTTAATATGAGTTTTTTATTTATTTAAAAAAAACTGTTAATTAACGAAAATTGTGCGTGGCGCCATCTATTACCAGACTTCATCATAAAATTCTTTTATTAATTAAAACAAAATGGCAAAAGGCTTAATTTTGAGTATAGAGGTGAGTTTTATATTAAAAAAAAAAATTATAAATAATAACGAGTAACGTTGTCCTTAAATCCCATCGCTCTTGAGATATGACACTATTTCCCCATCTTGACCTTTAACCACCAAATTTTAATAGCGACCAAACAGACGCCAACCCTTTTATAAAACTCCTCTCGACCTCAAGTGTTTTGCCATATTTTACATTGTTTTTAATTGTTATAAAGTTTTATATGATAAAATCAAGTAACAGATGGCGCCCCACACTTTACTTATTAACAGCATTAATGATGTATGAGAATTTATTTTAAAAATATCTTTTTACAACCGGGAAAGTTATACAACTCGTTACTGGTTTTTCTTTTATTTTTTGGATTCGGATTGTTTCAAAACGTAGGGGTGGTTGTTATAGTTACTGGTATGTTCGGCATTCAAAAGAAAAACTTTCTTCCCCTCGCAATATGGCGGCACCCTGTGGAGACACTAGGAGGAACTACGGTGGAGATTAAAGAATTCCCCGCGGCGCGCCGTGGGGAATTCTTTAATTTCGACGCTTGGATTATATATATTTATTAACTTATAATACAAAATTATAAGAAGATTTTCAATTTTGCTAAAAAGACAATTTATGTCATAACCGACCTAAATGGAAAATGCATACGCGGCTTGTCTTAAGAGGTAAGAATAAATAAATTCCATTCTCCAGTATAACCGTTTGTCGGGAAAATTGTAATTGCCGTCGCCGAAAGGAAACTGTATTAAACAGATGATCATCAGTTGTTTAAAGTTCACAAAAGTGCCTCCAGGTTCCGCGGAGCGTATATAACTGCCATATAAATAAATCTTATCGAAAGCTGCAAATTTCTGGCACCGTTGGACAATACAGAATGTGAAGAGTTAAGGTTGTCCGCCATAACAAAGATTTAACTTAAATACTCGCCCAAAAGCGTCTACACCTACAGTCAAGACCTACTTATTTATTGCAAAAATATAAACAAATACAGTATATTACTGCATTATTATAATGTTTTTAAATTTTAAAACAAGACTTCAGTTTATTTTTTATAACATACTAAAATTTTCCTATCGATCGGCATTTTGGTACGTTTGGTGGATTCGTTTCGTTCCAGCCAACTTAAATACGTAAACGGGATGGACAAAATTTCACGCATTTAAAAAACTTATTATCGAGTCTTTATAAAATAAATTGCAACGAAACAGTAGATCGCGCGATTTTTCCAGCCCGCTAATTACCGATTCGTAGCCATTATGTCGATTTCTGCAAAAATATTTGGAATGTTTTTTGGAGGCGCCATAGCGGGTATGGGTATAAGTAAATACACAGGGTAAACCTATTAATTAAATAACTACGCCGTATACTTGACAATTACTAATGCCGCTCGCCTTTGTCAGATATAAAAGAATTTGAAATTGAGTTGTTTTCTTCATCTGGCATTACGGACCTTGGAGGCTCTTAGCCGCAGTCACAATCCTCCTCCCCTCTCGTTCGTTCCATAGCCTGCCTCTGCCAATCTTCGATTCCGAGGTTCGGTGACTCCATCTATCTACCTTTTCTTAGGACGACCTCTTGGCTTCTTTCCTTTCCTCTCATAGTGGAGCCCTCGTGATGATGATGCCATTGTAGGTAGCCTTACGACATGGCCTAGCCACCGTGATCTTCTGGCCTTAATTATCTGTGTGATTAAGGGCTTGTCGTAGATTGCAGTTCCTGGTTTGAAGATTCCCCATTGACCATGATATTATTATTATCATAGTCTTCCACAAGTCTCCTTAGTTTCTCCTTAGTATTTTGTTTTCAAATCTCTGTAGTTGTAGTTCCTCCTGTTTTGTCATTGGCCATGTTTCATATCTATAGAGCAGTGGTTCCCAACCTTTTTTCATTAGCGTACCCCGTGACATGTCATATCTCTAGATTGTACCCCTTGACATGTCATATCTCTAGATTGTACCCCTTGACATGTCATATCTCTAGATTGTACCCCTCATTTAAGAAATTTAGTGAATAACCGTATTGTTAATTTTACATATTGTAACTTTAAATTAAAAGTAAATGAAAAAATGTATAATAAAGTTGTGATTGTTGCAAGGATCATTTTTTACCTAATAATTTTTTAATACTATTAGTTTGTGATACATAATATATTATTTTTTCTGCCATAATAACTAACTTTTTTCTGTACCCCTAAACAACCTATCGCGTACCCCTAGGGGTACGCGTACCACAGGTTGGGAATCGCTGCTATAGAGAAATGCAAGTCTAATCAGCGACTCGCATACAGTTAGCGTCGTCTTTTTACTAAGGAGTCTGCTTTTTAGTATGTTTGTGAGCCCGAAGTAGATTTTCTTTCCCTTTAGCAAGTGAGTCCCTATCTCCTTGATGCCATTGTTTCTGTTTATGTCAGCCCCTAAGTACTTCAAGAATTCCGTAGTGCTGAATGTCATATTGTCTACGGTTAGATGTTCATTACAGGATTCCCTCTTTTTAGAAATAACGATGTATTTAGTCTTTTCTTCATTAATGATCAGATCCATGCTCTTGGCTGCTGTTGCTAATTTTGACGTTAATCTCTTCACTTTCCCTTGAGATGCTCCAATGATGACAATGTCTTCCTCATGGGGCAGGATGGCCAAGAGGTTAAGGTGGCAACCTACTACTCTGGGGGACCCGGGATCGAATCCGGACGGGTCGAAAAATTTCCAGGAATTTTTCGGGGGGATTCCGTACAGATATGTTGGGCCCCGCCCCTCACCACCTGGCCGCTCCATTGTGGGCCTGGCCGAACCCATGACGGGCTTATTAAATGAAGCCCTCTTAGTTCCCACAGGGCAGAAAAAGTAAGGAAAATATCATCCGCATATACTGGTAATGATAGTTTGTCTCTTGAGTTATTTTCATTTTTATTGTCCATCTCCTGGGCCATTCTGACTACTTTTTCTAGAGCGATTTCAAAGAGAAGAGGAGACAGGGCGTCTCCCTGTTTCAGTCCTGTTTTGCTCTGGAGGCTGTCCGACCTTGTGGTCCTGGTTTTTACCGTACACCAAACCTCATTCATGCAAATTTCCGTAATTCTGGAGAGAGTGTCTGGTATCTCAAACTCCTTCATGTCCTTCCATACTAATCGCCTGTGGATGCTGTCGTACGCCTTTTGAAAATCGATGAACAGCAGGCGTGTCGACATTGTGTTCCCATTTCTTCTCAAGAACCTGTCTTAATGCGAAGATTTGATTGGTTGTGGATCTATTTTTTCGAAAACCAGTTTGATATTCACCAACGATTTCCTCTATGTCAAGCTCCTTTTAACTAGAGATGACAGGACTTGTGCCACCTGGATTAGGGAGATCTCCGTGTAGAAAACTCCACCATACCTTTAAAATGCAGTCTATTTTACACACATTATCGAACGTTTTCGGTCAGATTCACAGACCTTCTTCAGGATCGAACTATCAGATTTTAAATTTGCAAAACGGAAATTCCAAAATGCACGTTCTATAATCTTCTCAATTGCGCATGCTCATTATAATTTTAATGTCGCCGCTTTCCATGCAGATGCTATTTTGTTTGATTCACGGAAATTTATATTTTGCCCTTTTTCTTTGCACTTGTAAATGTGCCAGGCTTCTGCATACTTTAGATGTCTTCTATTTTCCACTTTTTGTATGAAATCTGCCTTGCTCCATTTGATTTCGATCTCTGTTGGATCTGCGATCGCATAATTAGCCAAAGCCGTGATTGGTTGTTTAAATCTTACATTCTTTTTGTGCTCCTTCAATCTTTCATTTAACGATCTTTTAGTGGCTCCTATATAATATATCTCCTTATTCAGCCTCTTATCATACAACGGTATTTTGTATACACCTGGGATCAGCCTCCTGTCAACAGGTGTTTTCTCACTTCTTAGCATTTGGAATATTGTCGTGTTTCTCTTATATGCTATTTTCTTGTTGCTTTCTAATCCTATTTTTCTGTATATGTTACTTAACTGAGCCCTGTATTCCATTACGGTGAACTCCTTTTTCTGTCTTTTTATGTATATTTTTATTGCCTTCTTTTTTCTGCTCGTATTAAGGCTTTTACTTTGTTCTCCTTAAGTCCTTCATCTCTTGCTAGCTTTGCGATGTATTCAAGCTCTTTACGCGTATCATGA